ACATACATGTACACAAACAAGACACAAGTTTATTTTATGTGGGATACATTAAAACAGAAGACACTAGATCATGAGCTATTTTTTGACAACATATGTAAAATGGATTAACAAAGATAATGCAGCTAAAAAGTTAAAAGTTATCAGCATAAGCACATCTAAGTACATGGATTTAGAAATTATTTCATGGGTTTAAATGTAACAAGAATTACAAACAAGATAAAGCAAAGAGTAAGATATACATCAGGTCTGGGAATCAGAACTGCGTCGTATACAAACGCCGCCATCTTGGAAAGGAAAAGGTAGATTTTTTTATTTATTACTCTTTATGTTGGAATGGAGTGGAAACCAAATACATGTATATGTATGCCCACGGTTCAAGAACTGTTCACTATTTAGGGGAGATAATATGTAAGCGGCCGGATAGCTCAGTCGGTAGAGCCGCGTTACGATATTCCGAGGGTCCCGGGTTCGAGTCCCAGTCACGCTACCCTGTGACATTGCATCACTGCCCCCAGTTTTGCGTCAAATGTCACAGAGTATGAAAAATGTGCATGTATTAAGACGCTCAACTATTTCCCACTTTGTTTGGTACATGTTGCTCGAATATATATATTTTGTAAAAAAAGGCTACAGCGAACTTGCAACACAAAGCGGTCAGAAATTATATAATGTCTTGTGGATACGAAGCAGTTCATATTGCTTTATCCATCGCGTTTTCCTTCGAACTCATTATATACCGTTTCAAAGTTTACCATAGTCTTCAAAACATAATTTTGTATCATTTACTAAAATGTCATTAAAAAAAAAGATGTTTATTTTCCCAAAAAAATAATGATGATACGACGCAGTTGTATTTTCATTGTAGGCTTTAATTCAGCTATTATGCGCTAAGTATGCTGGTAACGTCCACCAACATTTCTTGTTTGCGAAAGGACCTTGTATACAATTAAAGTCAATAGCAGAGGTCAGTTACTGGTTTCATGAAAATGAAAAATGTAATAAAATTCTATTAAGGATTCATTTTTTGGTCGCTTTTTAACCCAATACCGCATAAGCATTTTGTGAAAAATGGCTGTTTTTATTGAAGAGCCTCTAGTTACAAGTTCAAAATGCTATGAAACTATAAAAATGTTTCAATACCGATCAAACTTGGCACACATGTTGACTGGACCATTGCCTTTGTAACAGCATGCTCAGTCTTAAATGTGCTGTTACCATGGCAACGAGGGGTGGGGGTCGCCGAAAAAGTGATCACCTTTTTAAATAACATTTCTCTAACAAAAACAAGTGTTGCCAGCTTTAATAAGGCATTTTTCCATTTGGGGCATCAATTGAAGGGGGAGGGGTGGAAAAAGACGTTTAAAAGCGGGTATATGAGGGAATGGATTAACACAGATAATTATAAAAATACTTGAAATTACCCAAAATCGAGTTTTTCCATGTTAAAACATTGCCTTACACATAGTTTTTGAAGAAAAATTGTTGTTTTGTAAATTTTTTTTCATTCAGCACCTGTCATCTAGATATTACGGAAAAAAGTGTATCAAATGCAAAACACATTGAAACACGTGATCCGCAAACCAGATGACAGCATGTTCTAGTGTTGCCTTAGCATGCTTGTAAACTTCTCGTGAGTTTGAAACTAATAGGGGGTGGTTACCTTTTGCATTTGCAGTACATTTGCATGTTCCTCTCATGGACGCAGTATTAACCTGGAATGACCTTTGTTGTTGTTGTTTTTTCTTTAGAAAGAGATGCATTTTTTTTTAAAAAGTATCATGCTATTGGAAGAGAGGAATGCGCAAATTGCATGCCTACCTTAGTTTGTATGAACAAAATTTCCGACATTTCCGTAATTACTTATGTCTTTTACGCGCCAATTTTATTGTATTCATTTTTTTATAATCGTTGAGGACAGTTGAAACATAAATCGGGATATAAATAAAATATTATTCGTCTCTTAAATGAACATTAATTTTATAAATTATATTATAATTGGTTAAGCTACGATATTTTTTGCAAGTAAGGTATGCGTTTCGTTCAGTCATTTTATGTTCAGCGCGGAACTTTACCGCTTATTTTGCCGTATTGCATTTCTTTATTGTCGATGAGTCTAGACGGACTAGAGTTACTCTAGATTGGTTAAATATCTACAACACAGTATCATTCTATTCCATAATGAACTTTAAATTTTCGAAATCGAGTTATAAATGATACAACTAAAAATTATTTTGTAAAGTACGTGTCTGTTTTGCTAAGGTAGTTTACGCTTCGCACCGTTAATCTTGATACAGATGTATGCTTTGATAGCATTGTAGAAGTTTCCCCTCCATTCAAAAGAATCACCTGTTTGAATGAGAAGGTATAAAGTATTTAGATTACAAAAATTTGAATTAATGAGAAATATCATACTTTATTATGACTGCTCAAAATTAAGGTTTGTTAAGATACGATGTCTTAAGTCAATGGAAAACGTTGTGCGATAATCAGACCTAAATTTGTCTCATTTGTCGAAAAAAAAACAACAACAAACCAGACAGGTGTATCCGACCGACGCTGAGCTGTTTATGTTTACTGACTTCAAATCACTTGCCCCTAACTGCCGTGAATCCGAAAACCACCAGGGACTTTTTATTCCTTCGTATGGAGAACTTAGCTAGCTTCAAAATGTTGATGGTTCTCTGCCAGTGCAACATTTTGTCTGAATTAATGCACAAGGCCACTGTTGATATCCTTGCTTTCATTAAAGCTAGAGCGTAGAGTAAAACCACAAATAACTATAGTTTACTAAGAGCGAAGCTAGCCAAAATGAATTTTGTGATTTTAGTTCACAGACTTAAATAATTTTGCCAAAAAATGTAGGGATATGTAAGCAATATGAACTGCGTCGTATCCATAAATATTCTGACCCGCTTCGAGTTGCAAGTTCGCTATAACGTTTGTTTTTACAAAATATACGTTCAAGTAACATATACCAAATGAAGCGAAAAATAGTGGAGCGTGTTAATACATATATCTGGTTTTCAGTCATTTCCAACAAAAAAATAAATAAATGAAAACATATATTTTTCCTTCTTAGATGGATGCGTTTGTTTATATTTTGTAGGATTTAACGCAGTTCTGGTGATTCCCAGTCATGTTCATGATATCTTTACTTTGAGTCGAGGCAGTTTTTCGACTTCATTTTTAATTTATAAATGTATATATATCAATACTTTCAAACAGTCCCACTCATGGTTTTATTTAAGTAATTTTCGTAACATTTGGTTTAAGTCGAGCATTTATATTTTATTCTCTTTAGAATTGCTAGGTTCATTTGGCATCGATAAAATTACAAAGGAAATTTAAAGTATTCAAATAAAATAGGTATAAAAATAAACAAATAAGAGCTGAAAGGATTATCTTAAAGTAAACATCACGAATAAGAAATAAAGATATACTGAAAGAACTTGGTTGGATGTCGTTCAATGAAAAGTGTAATTTTCATACTGGAATTCATCTAACATTCGTTCTTCTAATTCTCTCACATCTTTTCAAAATAAGTATAAAAACGTATCTTGCTGGTCAAATAAATATCATCGTGACTCTGTCATTATGTCAGTATAATACGTGTACATGTATATTTATTAAAATATTTGTAAATGAAAATCACATAAATGATATTTAATATCTAAAAAGAGCGTTTGTGACAAACTTTTAATGCAAAACTAAGCACAAGTAGATGTTAATGTTCTTGTTTTATGATGTTTTTGTGTTTGTGTTTCTATATATTGTTAAGAAGGCCACATTTAAAATTAAGATAATATGTTATTTGTTTTCTACGATTTTATATCTTCGTGTGTTAACTTCTTTAAATAAAAAAATCTTTTTATTATTATTATATAAATGTATATTATTTTATTTTATGCTTTTCAGTGTATTACTGATTTATCCGTGAAAATTATATTTGATAATTTCACAGTGAACAATGACGAAACTACTTTCTTAAGATTTTTCCCATGTGGTACCTCAATTTTATTTTTGCTGACAATTCTGACAATGTCAGACTGTTCAGAGAAAAGCAAAGCTGAAATAAATAAATAAATAAATAACTTAAATGTCAAAAGAAATAAAAAGAAGAAAACTTACTTCTATTCATTCAAATTACCAACTCTTATTTTTTTTGTTTCATTTTAACAGTCCGAAAAATACGTTCCTTCCACGCGCAAAATGGCTCTTGATGACATCTGGGCATATATTTAAGAATCCTACGAGCAATAACTGCCGTATGCTTTATGAAAACTTGAGAAGCAAGGACAGCCATCAGCCCGAAGAATAAGTAAACAACCCAGCGTTCGTTAGGCAGCCTTTCAACAATTTCCAAGTTTCCCAATTTCCTAGCCGCTTTTTGAATGTTTACACTTCTGTCAACACTTATTTATTGTCTGTTTCAATCCTCAAAGAAGTTTTCTTTCTTTTAAAAAGGTGTATGAGTAACAAATCAAAATGGTATCCCTCTGAATCAAACACAATTATTTTGCTCCCGTGAAATACACAACTTTTAAAATGGCGGCCGCTTACATTTAACAAAGCCGGTTCTAATATAAATTAGCAGTAAGTAACAGAAATATGGATGGATGGTTGGACTTTTTCTTCAACTAGAATTGTTTGTTTTGATTATTAAAACAAGCGATCATTCATATGTTTTTAATGAAATGAATAATATCACCGCCATTTAACGTTGACTGTCAAACTTATTTTTCAGCCCTAGACTTCTTGCATTTAATGAGAAATTCGAGTAAATGAGGCTTTCGATGGGGAAAACAGATTTTAATAGTATCGTTATTATTAAGAATTTTCGTTTTAAATTGTTTTAACCATAAAATCAAAAGAAACTTTGTTTGTTTGTTGTGTACTCGTGAACTTTAAAAACAGTATTCTTACTCATGGCTACGCCACTCGTGAGAATACTGATATCAAAGCCCACTCGATGAAATAAAATTTCATCTTACACACACACACACACAAACAGACAAATATCGTCAATATAATATGATATTTTTTATTTACTTTCAAGATAAAGATGTCAAAGACAAAGCAACCTTCGATCATCCGGCGTACACCTCGTGTTTGCTATGTTGTTGTTGGACTACTCTGTTTTATCATTGTCGGGATACTCATAGCGTCTGGAATCATCATTCATCGTCTTAACGTTAAAATATCGTCATTTCACGAAGAGGAACATTGTCCGTCTCGTGATCAAAACATAAATCTTGACCCTCCGGAAGTACTTCCGCCTTTTTATGACCTTACAAAAGATGAAATTTTAGCAATTAAAGGATTTTTATATAGACAGCCAGATTTAAACCTTGTTCATGCATCTGAAATTCATACAAATAAAAGCTTTATATATACAATGGAACTTTATGTTCCAGAAAAAGAGGAAACCTTGAGATTTCTGGATGAATCAGGGCCTGCACCAAAAAGGGAAGGGAAGGTTATTATCTATCGGGGTGACAAAAAGGATCCTTTTGTGCAAGAAATAATTGTCGGACCACTTCCAAATCCAACGGAGAAACGATCAGAGAAACAACGACCGTTTACGTATCGCCCTTTATCAACACCTGAATATTTTGGGACTATCGCAATAATCAAACATGAAATAGAAAACAAAATTAATCATATTTTAGAAGAAAGTTACGGAGGGAAAGTTGGCCAGTGTTTAGACAAATGTTTAGATCTTCAAATGATAACTCCAATGTCACCAGTATCTTCAGGCGAACCAACCTCAAGGAAAATATGGTTCTGGCTTGCACCTGTTGGCGAGTTTTGGAGCCTTAATCCTCTAGACTTTTCTGTACTGATGGACATGACAAGCACCAGGGTTGATGAATACAGAATAGACAAAATATACTATGGAAACAATATGTATAATTCGGTCGATGATCTTGTTACTGCTTATGATTCAGGAGCAATTTCTAAAACTAAAATTAAGTTTCCAACCATAAACAAGAACTGGTATTCTACTATGAACAGGAGGGGAACTTTGTTTCCGGAGGAAGGTTTACTACCGCCGAGGGAGTTTGAACCGAGTGGAAAACGATATTCCATTCATGGGCGCCATATTAAATACATGGGCTGGAGTTTTGACGTAAGAATGTCAACAATGAGTGGCCCTCAAATATTTGACATCCGGTACAATAACGAAAGAATCGCTTATGAAATGAGTCTACAAGAAATTGCTGTTTTTTATTCTGCAAATAGTCCTACTCAACGTTTTGCAGATTATGTTGATAGCGCAGCCATGATTGGATCCCGAACGAAATATCTTGTTTCCGGTGCAGATTGTCCTGCTCACTCAACTTATTTGAGTTCCGATGTAGTTCTTGATGATTCCGAAGACCCGATTCATTTTGAGCGAGCATTTTGTGTTTTTGAGCATAATACAGGTACCCCGTTAAGGAGACATCTAACTTACCAAGGCAACCGGGTATTTTATGGAGGAATGATGGATACAGTACTGACAGTTAGAACAATTTCATCGCTAGCCAATTACGATTATATTATTGATTTTATTTTCCATCAGAATGGGGCTGTGGAATATAAAATTATATCAACGGGTTACATATTGACATCTTTTAGACATCCACCGGAAGATAGCTACGGTTTCCGGTTGCGCGATCATATTACCGGAAATATTCACCACCACATGTTTCATGTAAAAGTTGACTTAGATATTCATGGACATAAAAATAGATTTGAAACGATCGAAATAGTTCCCGAAGAAGTAGATAACACAATGTTTCCAAAATCGAATCGAAAGTATCATCAGACGAAAATGGTTCGTCAATTGGTTGGATCAGAAAAAGAGGCAGCTTTGAAGTTTGACTTTGATGTACCTAAATATCTCACATTCTACAACAAGGACTTTATATCTTCTACCGGTGCTCCAAGAGCATATAGGCTGTTTACGAGAGGAACTTCAAAACAGGTATGATGTTGTAAATGCTTTCATTAAACTACATTGTTGTTGTTTGTATCTATTTTCTAAATGACGTAACTGATATTAATAATTGCAAGAGCATTTCAGTATAATCAAAGAGCTGTAAGTGCTATTAGAGCGATCGTTAGTGACGGTCCAAGAATGAGAAGAAAATATTAATGAATTCATTAAATGTATATTTCAGCTACATAATGACACAGACATTTGTAACAGAATTTGATTTACATACAAACCTACCAATGACGCTTTAGTAATATGATAAACTGCTATTATTATGCACATTGTGTTAATTAAAACCCACACATGAATGCTACTGTCCGACGACAGTGACTTCTGACGCTGTGACACGTGACATTGGTTTTTCGAAAGATTTTGCCCTTAAACGCTGTGGGTTCAAATCCCAACAAGGACTTTGGCCTTCCTCAGCCAGTCAAGCTGGAAAGTCGCGATATGGCATACACTGTGTTGGTGCCACATAAATGAAAACTAAAGAATTCGGAAGATAACATTGCTTTGACTTTTTTATTAGCTAACCGGAGCACTTTGTGTGTCCGCCACAATTTCTTTAAACAACCTAAACCATAATTAAGGTGACAATTGTGACCTTTTCTAGAGATGTATCTCAGGTGAGCGATCCAGGGCCATTATTGTACTCTTGCTATAATAACCAAATTACGTCCAACTCCCTGCAGGTTATCAAAGAAGGTACTGGACAGGAACCGGCTATTTCGTGGGCACGTTATCAGGTAGCTGTAACAAAATATAAGGAAACTGAAAGGCGAAGCAGTTCAGTGTATGCTATGTATGACGGTATGAACCCAGTTGTTGACTTCCAGAGTTTCATTGACGACAATGAGACCATTACTGATACGGTAATTTAAACTTTTACATGTCTGTGTAATCAGTTTGATGTACCTTTCGATTAATTTAAGCTTTAAACTAATGAGGTAATTTGATCATTTTCTTCAGAACGATTACAATTTAGCATTCTGGTTTATATTCCAATATACACGACGATAAACAAGGGGCAGGACGTGAAGTGGTTGCACACTTGGTTCAAGCGAGCGAATTGGTTGCAAACTTAACAAAATGGTGAACACGGCGTGATTTTTTGAAACGGGTGAACGAATTTTTGCCAGGCAAGTGGTTTCTTTGTTATTTTGAAGTTCATTAGTATGTCTTTTCCACAATGCAATATATATGCCACACTCGGTTAAAGGTTTCAGCATCCTAGAATTTGTTTTGACGAAGTTATTGAAGATATAAACTGATCATGTAGATATTTTTAAATTTGACATGTGACTGTTCTGGTCGGTTTTTCTCCTAATTTATTCGAATTTGTAAGTTTTAAACTGCATTTAACAATAACAAACTATGTTACTGTCAATGCTGTATAAATGTTTTAGTTCGCAAGTCCGAAGATAACGTTCAATACACAAAAATATCTTGTTCAAGCACATTTTGGTTGCAGACTTATACCTCAAGCATTTTTGGTTGCAAACTTATTCTTATTCTATTGAATTCCATAATAAATCTTTGCAAAAGGAGTGTAGAAGGTTATATTTATTAACCTATTTTCAATGGCAATTATTGACATTTATGTACTGTTACTTGTTTTTGTCATAAATGTTATTTATACTTTCTTCTTTTACAACAATTATGCAATTTATGTTTCAAATTGCATAGTTCTCAGTTCAATACTATAATCATCAGTAAAAGAATAGCATATAGAAAAATATTTATTGATACTTCAATTCTAAAATATGTCATCATATGTAAAATGCAAATGAAAACTACACACAAAACAAACGTATGTGAGAGTACTGTTGTATGTAAGTGATTTATTTTCATCATAAACATAAGGACATGTGCACACATACGATATTACTCGGTAAAATTTCCAAAGTTTATCAAAACCACAAGAAATGTTAATTTGTTTGTTTCGTATGTAAAGATAAGCAGTTGCCTTAGACATAAAGTATGTTAATGTACTTAAAATACTTTTACAAACCGAAAGTTAAAATGACATGCTTGTTTACAATATTTCGGATTTGATGTACATCCTATGTCAATTGGTATTCTAAAGATGATTTTGATTATTAGATCATAATATAAATGATTTACGTTTGGTTATTTACATTGACTGATACGTGACAAAACTACTTAAAGTCATTGTTCGAGTTAGGGGATTTGGAAGATGTTTCGATTGGTCAATAATAAGGAACAATTTAAAGAAACATGTGAATAATGCCCTTGTGTCAATGTTAATATCGTTTTTATCTACTATACAATCAAATTTATTTCAAATCTCAAAAAAGAACAATAATGAAAGCTGTTTGTTGTTATTTTTCCTTCTTTTCCTTTACAGTAAGTCATGCCAAGATATAAAAAAAGTCCTAAGACTTTGTAAAAAGAAAAGAAGTATATCGAGGAGAAAAAATGATGAAGATAAACACAACTGAACTTCAGTTTAGCATATTGTGTTTTATATCTATTTGAAAGACCCTGTATCAGGATATATCTGCACGCATGCACAATTTGTATATATATTTCTTATTAGATGAACGGGTATAATTGCCTTAATATTGCTTATTATTTAAAAAAATGATAAGTTATTCCTCGCTAAAATATGCATGCCACATTATTGACACAAAAGTTTGCAACCCAAAAGGCTTGAAGTATAAGTCTGCAACCAAAATGTGCTTGAACAAGATATTTTTGTGTATTGAACGTTATCTTCGGACTTGCGAACTAAACCATTTATACAGCATTGACAGTAACATAGTTTGTTATCGTTAAATGCAGTTTAAACTTACAAATTCGAATAAATTAGGAGAAAAACCGACCAGAACAGTCACATGTCAAATTTAAAAATATCTACATGATCAGTTTATATCTTCAATAACTTCGTCAAAACAAATTCTAGGATGCTGAAACCTTTAACCGAGTTGTGGAATAGACATACTAATGAACTTCAAAATTACAAAGAAACCACTTGCCTGGCAAAAATTCGTTCACCCGTTTCAAAAAATCACGCCGTGTTCACCTTTTTGTCAAGTTTGTAACCAATTCGCTCGCCTGAACCAAGTGTGCAACCACTTCACGTCCTGCCCCTTGATAAAGGAAATAATTTACATGAATCTAGTTTTGAAAAAGGTTGAGCATTCGGAACAAACGTGTGTAACTTTGTACATGTATATACGTTTTTCAAAAATCCATTACTAGTACATTGTGTATATACAATGTATATTTGTGAAATTCTAAAGTCTTTAATTAATTTGTAACTTCAGGATTTTACAGAATATGAGCGCATCATAGTTTTGCGTTGTAGTTCATAAGTAATTACATTTTTTTCTCACTTTTTTGTAATTATCTTTTTTGAATCAGGATCAAGTGGCCTGGGTTACATTGGGAATACATCATATCCCTCATATGGAGGACATACCCGTTACTCCTACTGTTGGTCTTGATCTAGGATTCTTTCTTCTGCCATACAATTACTTTGACGAAGATCCTGCTATGGGTTCAGGAGATGCCATACGGATTGAACCGGAATCACAAAGAGATTATAGTAAAGGTTTAAGAATAGAAACATATGGGAAATCTGATAACGCACAGTGTAAGCCAAGACAGTCAATGTTTATCGAGAATCTAAAGAAATCTCCATACAGTATATTTGGCCAGTTGGGTGTTGTATAATTAGTAGCATATGATTAAGGAAATCACCTGTATTGGAGTACAATAGACTTTAGTCTCATGGAGAAGATTCTTTTCTTTGGGATCAGTGATTGTGAAAAAACGTCATGACATATGCTTATACTTATGCTCAAGAAACTCGTAATCAAATGCAATATGATTATTAATTATGTTATTTTATCACATGTATAAATATTTTCATAGGTATTAATATATACTAGTATGTTTTTAGATGCAATTGTGTACGTTATGCACCTAAATTGTCAGGACTTGACAACTAGGATTAAATGTTACACTATTGTGCATGTTAGCATCACATTGTAAACAAATATTAATGATACGCAATGGTAATTTGTTCAGCAAAACGAATTCGCGTCATAATGTATTATAAATTGTTATTTTTTTTTATATATATCATTTACATGTACATCATTTTAAGTCTGCTTGAGCATTCTATATTTCTTCTATTTCTAATATCATATATTAAGGATAACGAACCCTATCTAATACGTTCTCGAGTTTGAGTCGTTTGCTTGTTACATTTTATTGATAACTATATATTGGAACTGGAAGCCTGTGGTAATCACTTAGAATGTGAGAAGTCTGGGGTTCGAATACCAGTCCAGGCAACCGAAAACAGTGTCTTTTTTAGTGAAATGAACTTTTTTCTCAAGAAATCAGTCAAACTATGCAAAGGAAGGATCGTCCATGGCCGAGTGGTTAAGATCGTTGACTTCAATTCACTTGTGCCTCACCACTGTTAGTTCAAATCGCGGCAGGGGCTTAGATCCTCACATGGTCGGTGGTCTACTCGTGTGCCTTAAATAATCCTCTACCAGTACAGCCGGAAAGTACTCTATTGATGCGACTTAATACCCAATCAAAAAGGGTTGGGTATGAAAAGTATGGTTTTGTTTAAAAAAAAATGAAAGAAAAGAAAAAAAAATGTATATGATATTTAATGTAAGTAAGAAACTAACAAAGCAAAATTCCATAATGTATCACATTTAACCAGGAATAGTAAGGAATAAAGGCGATAAAAGTGATCAATATTTTCACATCATTCTTATGCTTAAGTCGTTCAAGATTCCCTACACATGAACACCAGTATTAGTATCTGGAACAGATGTGAGGTGTTTGATTCTGTTGTTAAAACCACTAGTCTTAAAGGTTTATAAAAAAAAATGTTAAGTAATGGGATAACAACGTGACATCTAACATCTGTAATATTAATTATAAATATATTTATTTATTTATCTAATTTATCTATTTATTTATTTATTTATTTATTTATTTATTTATGTTGCATCGATGTGTATGCATGTACATAGCATTTACATAAAAACGCATATTAGAATATACAATGGCATTTATTTTTAATTACATGAGACAATGTTTGTATCTACAGCTATTTTCTTTAATAATATACCACTGATATTTTCCAGTCAGTATTGTATTATGTTTTATATTGCACACAGGTTTCGTAAACATATAGCTACGATATGATTTCAATCATAAAACAGAACTTTTTACTGTGTTCCTCACAGTATATGTATTCTAGAATTACAGGTAAATCAAGATATTAGATATTTCTAAAACTAGCATGTAGACATTACATAATTATAATGATTACGCATGTACAAAAAAGTATGAAAAAAATACAAGAGCTTATAAACTCCAACTTTGTATCAAAAATGAGCGATACAGTATACATGTAGTTTCATAAGCACTTCACTTTTCCGCAATAAAATCTATCCATTTATGAAGTTTCAAGTTGATATTTCAATTTCTTTTTGAGTTTTGACCAATATGGACCAAGAGACAAATTAACTATGAAAATCATATTTAATCAACATTGTAAAATCATTCGACTCGGTTGCTACGGATATTTTCAGCTAGTCTATATTTGCTTCTTTACTCAGCCATCATTGTATCGTTGTTGATTACTCGTGTACCTTTCTTTTATTTTGATTCTGCTGGTCAACAAATCCAGGCACTAATTCCAACTTTATTAGAAATAACCAACACTATTACAAATAACCAACTCTATTAGAAATAACCAACTCTATTAGAAATAACCAACTCTATTAGAAATAACCAACTCTATTAGAAATAACCAACTCTATTAGAAATAACCAACTCTATTAGAAATAACCAACTCTATAAGAAATGACTTATGTGGAGTCTGTAATCTTGAAGTGAACTGGCAACAAGACCGTACGTTGTATCTTCTGCAAAGATTGTGAAACATGGTTTCTCGCTGAATGTCGAAGCATGAATTATGTTAATTTTCTATTACATACATGTATGTCTTGATGAAAATTGGCAATGACTGATATGTGACACATCTCAATGATTTTACATTGTGAATGATAAATCAAATGAAACAAATGTTTCATTCTCCTCACATAGTTCAATCATGAGAAAAGTGCACTAAATGTTTTTTTTTTAAGTTAAAAGATTCAACATTCAAGTGATAATTTACATGTAATGTGAGATTAATGACTGATTTTGCAGTATTTATCACATATTAGTACTCCGTGACTAACGCAGTAAGGGCTATTGTTTTACATATTTCGACCGCTCTTTAGTAGTTTATGTGAGTTGCAAGTGCCGTTTGCAATGTGTAAATTACACTTACTTTCTTCATTCACTTTACAATATTTTACTATAAAATACATTTTCAAAATTTTCATGAAAATTAGTATGATTCTGGGGGGATGCAGCTTTCAGGGTTTTTTAAACTATTTTCTCTAAATTGTTTTTCTCTAAAGTACCACAGTCAAAACGAAATACCTGGAATTTCAAAACATGTAAGCATCAGCTATATTGTTTTAAGCCCAAAATCTTGTTTAAGTCCCGGACCCAAAGTTATAAAACATTTATTTGAGTTCTGTCTCTAATCTCAGGAGTTCATTGGACAGTGTACATTCTGTACTTGTTTCTGATCAATCAGATTACCGAGATCGATTCTTTATAACCTTGATCAATGACGTCTTCCCCACAGAGAACCATGTCTATAGAAACAAGCATTTATCATAGTATTGCAAGTAATACATAAGTCCCCTACCGGTTAGAACGCCAGCAACATTCTGAAGGGACATTGACCATTCAATTATGCCATTGAATGAATGAATGACATGAATGAACTCAAATCTTTTGAGTTCTTAGTTTGTTTGAATCATAGTAATGTTCTAAGTTTCCCTCGTACAGTGATCGGAAGTAACACGTGCTTGCCATCGCACAAGACAGCGTGCAATGATACAATATAGTTTAGGCTTGCAAGACGAGGTACAATGTCTTCCTTTATCTACTGTATATGTACTTGGCATAGATATCAGCAAGTTGTTCTTATCAAAGCATTATAACAATCAAGCCTATCATTTTGTGCATTTATAATTGACGTTTTTAATTTGCACAAAATCCATGAACATAATGTTATTTATGTTTCCTTTTCAATGTGTTAGATTTTGCACCAGTTTATTTTATCACGATGCTAGGTCGTATTGATGGACTAAGTAGCTTTGGAGGCCCAGCACACTCATTTTTCTAATAAGATAGAGAAAAAAGGCGGTTCAATGACTCAAGAGTAGCGGTATATAGCATATAGTATCCGAGTAAATTGTTGTGTGTGCCCTCAAAAGAAAATTATGAGGCAAATGAAATGAAATTGTGAAAGGGGATCAGAGTTACGAAGTCTGCATATCACAAACAAGCCATCAAAAGACAAACTCAAAAAGCAGGCAACATATCCTATGGGAGATTATACAGTATAACAAACTAACCAACTAGAAACAGGTAAAATAGAAGGAACTAAAACTTCAATGTAAACAACAAAACAGTCTTGCTGAAGTATCTATACAAATACATATACATGTATATGACATACACCGAGCAACATTTTACAAGAAACAAAGAACACGGGTGTGCATGACGATTAAACAGAGAAAGAAAACGGACACCATGCATGGCTGTTTAATTCATTAAATTGTTTCTAGACATTTTTATAGAAAAAGAAGAAGAAGAAATTAAGAGGAAGATGATGTACATGTTTATTTAACACGGGCTTTTTCTTTTACCCTGATTTTGATTTAAACAGTTTTTCTCTTTTCGTAACCATTTATAACATTATGTTATCATAATATAAACACAAAAGTAGCAAAAGGGTTAAACAACGAATTCTTACAACATCAGCAAGCGGTTTCCCCCCGATATATGGAATTATATCTTATAATAATAAAACAATTACAAACAAAATTGAATGATAGTAGAGCAGTTGGGGGAATATGCACATGGAGAAAGAAGAAGAAAAATAAATAAAGGGGGGGGAGTTTAGTATGTAGGGATATCAATTGAAAGTGGCGATATATATAAGAATGTACAGACAACTATCTCCTTTCAAATATACACGATGATTTAATAAATATTTATACCTTGTCAAAAATTAATGAGTTATTCTCATCAGAAAGAGATTATTCTCCAAACAAAATGGCCTTTACGCTCAAACGATGGAAACTGCGAGTTTCACGGAACGAATGTTATATTTTGAACATTTAAAATGTAATGTTCCGCGTCTTCAATACTGGATGTACAGTAGCTACAGAATGAGTTATCTCGTAAATGATTTTGAGATCCGCATTATGCCGGCTCGCCACGGCGAGCCGGTATTACGTTAGGATTTTACTGAGAAACAACCTAAAACTCCGAATCCATCCAAAAATTTAATCGAAGCTTAGCTCCCAGCTTTCTACAAAATTTATCTATCAGGGCTAGGATCCAAAATTATTTAGCCAATCAAATTTGATCTTATATAGCGTCAAAAAACCTTCAATTTTCACGCCATTTTTAAAAAACAGCAAGTATTGTTTTGAGCGAAAAGATATAATGATGATTAAAATGTTTGTTTTCATGGATTCTTTTCAGTAAATCATATTTACACTGACTTTTGATTTAGCGATTTCACCAGTCCTGTTTACTCTGTAGTAAGTTTTCGTTTGGTTAATTAACATAAACGACCCTTGGTTCTGTGCATTTTTTTTTTTCATTTTTCCTTTTTTTCCGGTCATTTCATCCTATCCGGTATTTAGTGTATGTATTTACTGGCCGGGATCCGGGACGCCCGGGATCCGGGATCGTATAAGATAATAGAGGAAAAAACTAATAAACTATATTTGTGTTGATTATTGTCGTAATGAAAGGCCATTAAACGTTAAGTTTTTTATTGTATGTAATGAAAGTTAAATTGATTTAACTTAGGATATAGATATATTTAGAGCTATTTATTAACAAAATCGCAATACTTATAATTATATGCCTAATTAATTGGAAAAATCAAAGACTATATTCTTGAATTGGTCAAATACCGGGATCCCTATATGTTTTAATACGATCCCAGCTTTTCTGAAAACAATATTCTTGAACTGTCCAATTCCTGGGATCTCTTTATTTTTTTAATATGATCCCGGCTTTTCTGAAAACTATATTCTTGGACTGGTCAATAATAGGATCCCGGCTTTTCTGGCTGAATTGATTGACAACTTGTGTTTACTTAAGGACTTGTATCTGTCACTTATTCCAATACTAATAACATATTACAACTTAACTTCGTATAAAGAGACATTTTTATGAATCTTTATTTTTTTTTCTGGTCAAGGTCAAACAGGCCATATAGTAAATGTGCATAGACATAGGGACTTCATTCTATCTGTTTACATGCATCTTCATATATATATATAACTCATATTCCTCTTTGTTAAACTGAGAGAACTAGCTTCCTTAACTTTATATGTCACTTTTATTTTGATGTTCGCTGAAGTCTTTTCAGCTAACAGAACTGTCATTTTTACA